GATTTGATGAACCGGTTCTACCGAATAGGTGCGAACTGGTAGGAACCCACCTCTGGATCTGGCCTACAGGGCCACCCTGGATACAGCAAAGGACCAGCCTGTACTGCCTCTGCCAACCGGCTCCTGAGCTCTGTTTTCGCAGAAAGATTGCAGGAGGCCATCATAGGCAAAAATGGAGCTTGGGAGTCCATTTTCACTTGTAGAGCACTCGGGCCACCACAGGCGCCCCCACACAAGTGAAATTGAGCTGGCCACGCCCGTCCAGCCACACCCACCCCAGCCCCCTGAGGTCAAACACAACCCTGATGTAGCCCTTAATGAAATTGAGTTTGACACCCCTATTCAAGTCAATGTTTCTCAACACTAACTTTTGAAGATGAGTGGACTTCAACTCCCAGAGTTCCCTATCCAGCAGGGTTGGCTAGGGAATTCTGGGAGTTGAAGTCCACTCACCTGGAATTCAGTTGTCAAGGTAAACACCAATCTAGGGAAAAAAACAATCTAAATGAACAGTGAACCGGCAGAGGAAAAAATGCTTTAAAAAGCTAAAAAAAATAGCTGAAAGTGAAAAAAAAGTTGGCCACGCCTGCCCAGTCACATGACACCCCCTACAAGCCACACCCACAGAACCGGTGATGTCGGGGGGAATTAGATTTCACCACTGCCTCATTCCTTTATTTTTTGAAGCATGTTTACTTCTGGTTTGGTTCCTATGTGTATTACGGTTGCCAGGAGAAATTCTTAGCCTCGTTATTAAGTTTTCATCACCGGGTAGATAGTTTCTGTTGAAAGGAAAAGAGCACCATTCAAACTGTCATGGTAACTATGGTAATAACTCTTGGCCAAGGTTTAATTTAGAATACAATCAAAGGTATCCTATAGTGATGTGAGTCAGCAGAGTGTTACAAGAAAGCTAAACCACCCAATTCAATTCTTCAGCTGATTCACCGCTTAGAGCTCCCTTGGCAATTATGCAGCGCTATCCAGAATGACGTTCGTTCATTCATTCATTACACAAGTCCTCAACTTGCGACTGCAATTCAGAACCAGAACTTCCATTGCTAAGCCAGGCAGTTGGTAACATGAGTCACACCAAACTTCATTGTCCCTTTTGCTGCATTCATTAAACAAATCACTACAGATGTTAAGTGAATGACAGGTCTGTTAACTGGATTTGTTCCCCACTGACTTCGCTTGTCAGAGGCTGGCTAGGAAAATCACAAATGGCAATTAGGTGACCCCGAGTGACGTGCGGTCAGCTTTAGGCCTGGTGAGGCACTTTTTAGACTTGTGGACTTCAACTCCCAGAATTCCACAGCCAGGCATGCTCAGTTCCGA